AAAATTATTTTACACATAAGTTATACAATAAAATTACCTCTATTTATCTACGTCAATAATATTTAAAAAAATAATTATTTTAAAAATTTATATTTCTTAAATTATTTTTTAAAAATATTAATACATAAAATTTTTTTAAAGATAAACAAAAGTAACTTTATTATATGTAAACTCTAATGTAAAATATTTTTGGTATCTTGAATGACTGTTGAGATACAACAAAAAAATCGAATTGCTTTATATAAGACATGATTTTACTTCTTAAAACTGTTTATTAGTTGCAATTTTCTTTTTAATTAATAAAAATTATTTATGTAATTTACGTATATGTAAAGTTTATTAAAATCAAAATTTAACACTGCAAAGTGTTCCTTCTCAGCATTATAATTATACTAATATTTGACTGTTTGAATAATTTTGCAACAAAAGATTTGCGAGAAAAGACTTATAAATAAATGACTGAAATTCCAAAGGATGTTGTTAGGATAATTATTATCCCATCTGCAAGTGCGGATTCTACCGCTCAAGTGGTAAAAAGCCGCTTTGTTTAGAGGACAATAGAAACCTGTTAAATAACAGGCACGCTGCTTAACGAGGCACGTCAATTAATCGTTATAATTATAGCCGACATAAAGCTAGCTTTTTAAAAATCGCAATTTTAAATTATACGTGATCGAAGCATGGCGGAACTGAATACCGATCTTTAAACATCAACGCGATAGTACCGTTAAGGAATACTGCGATATTCGAGATTCGAGTGAATACTAAGCAATAGAATTTAATTTCTGTACTACTTTCGAGTTCTATATCAAGTCTTCGCTGGAGAAACAGAGAGAGAGAGAGTTTTATTCAAAATAATTTTCGTCTCAATTATAAAAACGACCAAAAATTAATGAAATTAATGGAAGATTAATTTCATGAATGGATTAATAATGGAAAGATTAATAAACCGTTTTATACGATAAGTGTAAATTTTTACATGAGTTTTAGTAGTTTAATTGTATGAGTATATTAATATGAGTATATTAAAGACTTTTGAGAATTCTTTGAAAATAATTACATTTCTAATTTTTTAATACATTAATGAAGAGAGTAGCTTAATATAACTGACATGTGATAATCTAGTCATTCAGGATAAACAATTTCTTGGAAAGTTATAAGAATTGCATATTGATAATTTTATTGTATCACGACCTTCATTTATATATACGAGAGAAATACCCGCAATGTGAGAAATAATCTCTGGCGTGATAAAAGTCCACTTTCAGGAAACATTTCTTGTCAACAACGATAAACCATGTTAAATCGATCTCCGTTCAGGCGTGCAGATTGAGGTAAGAACAAAGAGAGTGTCGTAATCTTGGTTAACTAAGCGATAGACCGCTATAACAAACACGGACTTTGTCTTTTTGACAAACCAAATAAATCAAATATCCTTATTTTTTTATGTTTAACACGAAATAATGATATGATAATTGCGTAACATTGAATGTTTTACATGTATTATGTAAGAAAAAAAAACGCATAGCACATAGTAGAACTTTGATTATGCAAATCATTTGAGAGACTGAAACTTTTATTTGAATATTAAAAATATAAAAACAAGTTTTATTAATTATTTTATGTATTTATTATTTTATATAATATTATATGAAATATTTTTAAAGAAGTTTGTGCCTTTCGATAAACGTATCGTGCTTGAAATAAATGAACAGTAAGAATGTAGATCGTAAATGAAATATCTTTGAGGGAACTCCGCTCACTTAAATGACAACTAAATGAGAACACGAGAGATACTTGAAGAATGCAACAATAATTACTCCCTCACTTGAGCATGGAATAAAATGCATCGCTACACGATGCAACTACGGGAACCAACTCTTCTCCTATTCATTTCCAACCGTTCGCATAATTCTTTTCACGCATGATCGGCGATATGTGGGAAGACATGCGCGTAATTTCATCGTTGACATTGTTACTCTCTTCACTCCTTGCGATTGCAAGATAAAAGTACCATACGCCCGTGTGCTTATACAGAAAAAAGACTATTCTTAAATCAACCATAATATACTCATACATAAGCAAAAGTATTATAATCTTATTTCAAAGATATTAGTCTTAATTTAATTAAATTTTGATACAAGTATTACTTTGCATTCAATCTAAGACTTTAATTTTAATTTCACTTAATTTGTTCAATTAAAAATCTTATATCAATACAAATTTAATCAAATTACGACTAAAATCTTTAAATAAAGATTATAATAGTTTTGCTTATATATGAGTATACTCGTATTATAGTTAATTTTTAAGAATAATTTTGTTCTGTGTATGCGACTTCTACTAAAAAAAACTAAATTTTAATAAATATTTGTTTGAATTGTTTTAAATAAATATTTACTAAATGTAAACATTTATTTATTTATTTGGTGAGAGAAGAATTATTAATTTGATTTAACTATCACTTTTATATTCAATAAATATTTATTTACTATAAATAAATTTACTTAGTATTGTTCAAAGAAAAAATATGTATTAAAATTTAATAAATTTCTTTTCAGTGTATCTATCCGTACCTTGTAAGGATATTCGTGATTGTGAATCGTGACTGTTCATTCTGCATCGATATCTTACGATTGTGACGAGATACACGAGGTACACGGATCAATGACGTAACGCAGTCAGTGATCGTGCAGAACAACGGGACTAGATACCTGATTGGATGTAGAGCACCCGGATGGGCAATCTATGGCATACATCGTATACGAATTTATACAATTCACTTTCAACGATCGTCTCAATAAATCAATTGAAGTGAATACACTGATTGAACAAGTTGCTTGGATAAAAGTGCTTAGTTCCTCTTACATTAAGAGTTCCTCTTAGCTTGCGTATCTCTTTACATAACTTACATAAATTTACTTTCTTTTACTTTATATACTGCGAAATAATATTTAAAAGCAAAATAATGTTTACAAAACTGTTTAAAATTATTGTTACATTTAAATGTTTGTTCTAATACTAATATTGATCATTCAGAAAATGAAGCTGTAATGCAATAATGATACACGGTACTATTTTATTTACTATTTCATATAAAATTAGATAAGGCATATTTTTAGAAAAATGTTTCATGCAATAGTATAACGTAGAAAAAGTGATTTATATTGTAACATATGTATCTATTTATTTCAAAGGTATTTTAATTTATTGAAATTGTAACATTGCATGTAGAGAATCAATCAAAATTAAATTATATTTTTATGAAAAAAAATTTAAAAGATCATTACGCAATGGAAGATACTACAATTATTAACAGTTTAATAATTATTAATTTTAGAATTCTAAGAAAAAAATATTGTTAATAAATAAAAAGTAGGTATGTGCTAAAGTACGATAAATTGTACGTATGTAAAATTTCAAAATTTCTCCATCTCCGTTTACTTATTTAGAAATATCAAACTGTTATGCAAAGTAATAATACATGTATCTTTTATTCATTCAGAGAAAAATGTAAAAAGATAAGTTTGAAATAATAATAGTTCGTAAAAATGACTAATATAATATTTAATTATTTAAATGTAATAATCAATTTTTATTATAAAAGGATATGCATTTTTCTATTATCTTAAAATGACTAAATTAAATAACTAATAGTTAAATAACTAATAAGACTGATTAAATAACTGATTTAACATAAAGCAATTATTCTTTATCACTCTTCATACAATAAAGTGATAGTTACTAGAGAAATTTTATTCTTTATCTCCCACTTCCTCCAGCAAAAAGAAGAAAAGAACAGAAAGTGTGAATACTTATGGCTATGACCTGATACAACGAAAGCGAAACGCAAAGTTTTTATTTGCCGAACATCGAGTTGTCGACATTTATAACGTGTGAATTTTATGCAGTACTCTGTAGATGTTCCGATACGCGTAAAAAAAAATTCATTTGTCACGATTCGTGATACCTGACGAGGGATGGACCGCAATCAAACGGTTGTCGGACACTGGTAAGTATTACAGTACGCTGGCGCATGAAAGCGAAAGTAATGCGTTTATTTGATTGGCACATTTATTGCTGCGAATTTATTCTATAGTATCTTTCATATGATTAATATATTCTTCTAGCGTCTTTCATCGTGCGTAGAAAGAGAGAGAGTGCGCGAGAGAGAGTGCGTTTCCTATAATTACGTGATAATATTATCGAAACTTTTTTTTATAAATGTAAAATGCGAGATTGTTGACAGCAGCATTCAATAGCTCAACGGTAAAGTAACATTGATTGCCCAAAAGAGTTAATTAATGCATTTGGCTCTGGCTGTACCATAGGATTTCGCTTACGTAAATGGGCGGAAGATGAAGAGCTAGCCCGGTAGCGGTCTCGAACACGAGCGTTTCCGGCAATGCCGGTAACTCCGGATAAACATTTGGAGCGCGCGCCAATTGTGTAACGGTTACTCCCAGCGAACTAATGACATCAATTACACACGGTTGAATGCTATCGCCTAGCAAATCTCGCCTCGGCTCGATTCGAACCGCTAAAAACACATCCTGAGGCAGAAAAACGTCCCTGGGCCCCGCGTTAATGACTCGCGAACAAAGTTCTCACTTGCGTGATCCACACTCTGAATTTCACATCTCGCACTCACATAAACCACAGAAACGCATCTACTAGGAAACCGCGTGCGTGCGTGCTTAAGTGCGAATGCGTGTATGGAAAACACTTTCTTCTCGCGTGGAAAATCGTGTTAGTGGCAGTTTCTCTCTACGGACCAATAGATGGGTGGGTGCCTGTAAAATTCACGCGCCCAGAATAATTAAAGGCAAAGCAGCTGTACTGTTCGCCCGCGAGCGTTTCTCTCAACACTTCATTAGTGTATCGACTAATTTCATTACTAAAGCAGTTATAATTTGGTAATTAAATTCATGTGTGATTGGAGCTTTATGGAAATTCTCATATAAAGCGCGTTAGTAAAGATCTTCGTATTTTCTATGTTATTAAAAATATAACGCTACTGTATAATTGAATCATAATTAAACGTATTATTGTTTATTGAGCATTTATATCGTTTTTTTACTTTAAAGGTGATACAATTTAAAAAAAAAATGATTTTTAAATTGTTATTATAAATGAATTAGTTATAAGAGGAATTATTTTATTAATCGTTAAAAGTAAACTAAATTTAAGTCGGTCCGCAAATAGCATTTGTATCATTCCTAAAATTTTCAAAGAGATCATAGTACTTTTTATAAAAATACTATTTTAAGTTGTATCCTTTTTATAAATAAAAAGGAGTCTTCTACAGAAAACATTTAGAGTTAAGACTGTTTTGATAATCAAAGTTTGAAGAAATTGTTTTATTTTGAATTTAATCATTTTAGCTAATTAAGATAAAATATAAACTGTTGTTGGTGATATTTCGAATTATGTCACTTTAATAAATTTTTTATTTGGTATTTATTATAATTTTATGGGATATCAAAATTGTCACCATTCAAAACGGATAATTTTTTAAGGAATGTGGAATAAAAATTACAAAAATTTGATTTCATGTTTGTACAAGTAAGTTATTTTTTATCGATATTATTTGAGTCAATAATTTTTTATTAAGTTAAAAAATAATTTTTCTCTTTTTTTAAAAAACTTAATTTTTTTATATTACTTTTGAAGTAAAAACGATATTGTAATAAATGTTTGCAGTCTTAAAGATTTTTACAATATAATTTGATTGGCGTTAAATTTATATCAAGAAAAAATTACATTATATATATATTTATATTCAAACCTATGAAGCTTAAATAATTTGTTATCAAGGAAAAATACTTTGAACATAATATAAGGAATAAAAAGTTTTTGAGAGTCAATATTATTGCAATTACGTTTTATTGTATATAATAATTGAAGTAGATTTACATTTCGATTCTCTTTCTTTGGTTTGAATCCTCTCCATTAAATACATTATATAATATACATTAATGATAAGAATATTTGTTCGTCGTAATGAATTGTGAATAATGTGTATCTAGATAAGTCAATTCGTATCCATATATCAATGTCTGAAAATTAAGACAAACAAATATTTTTATCATTCATGTATTTACTAAAGAGAATCATGACGTCAAAAGCGAGAAATAATAATAGTCAATTTTTATTACGTGCTATTTATAAAGACAATTTGAATAAAACAAAATAATGAAATTGCTTTAAAACATTTGTAAAAATGGATGAAAACTGTGCTTATCCCCCCTTACAGTCAATAAATAATCGTATAAAATAATGAAAGCATGTATAAGTAAAAATAAGCTACGCATTAAATAAAAGCACTTCATGTGCCCTTCATCATTTTTTACGATTATTTATTGATTGTTAGGGAGGATAGCATAGTTTTTGTTTATTTTTACAAATATTTTAAAGCAATCTCATCATTTCGTTTTATCCAAATTATCTTTATTTACAAATGGCACGTTATAAAAATTAACGTATCATTTCTCGCTTATAACGTTACGATTCAATATGGCTGTGGTGACTATTTAGGAACCTTAATGTATTTACTGAAGAGGATCAAAACGTTGACTTCAATTATTATATACAATAAAACGTAATTGCAATAATATCTACTATCGGCTCTCAAAGGCTTTTTATTCCTTATTGATTTAATTAGAGCCTAAAAATTTCTACAGTCAAATAATATAATACATTAAAATATAATAAGAATAAATTAAAAAATTTAGAATTTTTTTAATGTACCTTTAGAAGCTTACTTCAAATTGTTATTTTGCAGAACTCGTGGGAAATGTTCGTCTCTACACAGATGACTACATTAAGATTCCTCCATGATCCTTGAAAACATAGATGTACACAAACGATTAAACTTTGCGAAGTAGCATACAATGTGATGTGTTTATGGTTATTAAATTAATTCAGGTACGCCGTTAGAATCGCATTTACACGTACATTTCATATACAGACGACATTTTAATGTGTCCACAATCGTTAGATAGGCCTTTTCCAAGAAAATAGCGAGCAATGTTTCTTCTTTAGGAAAATCGCTTCGAGAAATTCATCCTTCGTACTTACAATATATGTGGGTCAATGTATAAAAAATGAGAAA